CTTTAAAATGTACTTACTGTTTATTCAAGATTACGAAGATAACAGATTCAGTACCTCAGAGCAGAAATAATGTGCAATAATAGGAGAAAATGTATTTAAAAATGTGTAGAGAAAATGGTCACTAAAATAAAATCAGTGGTGTCAGAACTCCTTTCTTTAGTTGATGGATGTAAGGTAAGGTCATTCTATTTATATAGCACATTTTCAGCAACAAGGCAATTCAAAGTGGTTTACATGAGTTAAAAGGAAATACAAACAAAATAACAAACCAAAGTATCAATTGCAAGTTTAACAGCTGCTGGGAGGAAGGATCTGCGATAACGCAGCTTTGTGTACCGAGGATGCAGTGTCTTCATAAAGTTATGATCCAAAACAAGAGTTTTACTGACAGAAAAATTTATTTTCCTTTTGAAATGTGCAACTTCTGTTAAAAGCAAATGTTCAGTGAGGAAACACCAGCAGAAAAACTTCATTCCTGAAATGAAACATCTGAAGAAATGTGGCTGATTAGATTCACATTCTGTTACAGAGAGCCACACCAGGCTGACAGGGTGAATATGTTGATGGAAAATATTTTCTTGGAAACATAAAACATGTTGAAAAATAATATTCTGAAGGCCAATGACAACAAATGAGATGGGGAGGAGCGTGAAACAAACATTTGTTTAAAGAAGGAATATGCAACGACATAATATTTTTATTCAATAATTGAATCTGAAGATACAGACAGAAATATTATGGGATAATTCAGAACAGAGCAGATTCATGGCCTAGTCCAGAGGTTCCCAAACTGTGGGGCGCGCCCCCTAGGGGGGTGCCGTGTCATTGCAGGGGGGGCGCGGGAAGCCGTCTGGATGAAAAAAAAAAACAAAAACATGAACACTGTATGCGCTGGGTTTTTACCTTAGAATGGCCAAACTCCCTGTTATTCCTATGTCAATTTGATACAGTAGAGGCTTCCACACTTCCCATATCTGTGTCCTCTGTCACTTTTATCAGCAGTTAAAACTGTTTAATACGTTGTTAACATGTCGTAACCTGTTTTTCCGAGCCGCCTTTAAACGCAACATGAGCGCTACGACGCTCGCGGTGGGTTTACTCCTGTGAAGGAGACCTGCTGCTGCTGGGCGGAGCTACGCAGGTTTGTGATAGAATCACGGCAGCAAACCAGCAAAACGCAAAGAACTTTTCACAGTTTGTCCCTCCAACTAACCGACTGACTTGAGTAAAGCTGCTGGATGCAGGTAATGTTAGCTAAAAGATGACTAGCTAACATCAATACGGGGCGCAGAAAATGTTTGGAAACCACTGGGGGGAGGACGCAGAAGAAAAAGTTTGGGAACCACTGGCCTAGTCAAAGTCCAGACCTGAATCCAGCAGAGAATCTGTGACAACAAAGATATGCTCTATTGATATGGACCGATCTGGAAACGCTCTGCTGAATCAGACGGGATAAAAAATGAAAAACTTAAACAGATTTTGCTTCCACTATTTTTATCGTTGCTCTGTGACATAAAAACACAAGCAGCTCCTCTGAAGCTGCGACCACATCAAATGTGAAAGATTAGATTCGTTATATTTTATTGGTTGGCTTTTTATTCATTCTTTAAATAAAAAACGTCTGAAATGTTCTTCCTTCTGACAAAACATCAGGTATCTGTCTTCATCAAGTCTTTTTTGTACGTCTGTGTTCTGCTTTAATTCTTTGAATCAAACTTTAACCAGATCAAACTGAAGCTGCATCAGTCAGGAGGAAGTTTAACTCAGATCAAGAGAAAACAGATCAAGCCTCCGTTGGTGATGGCGTCTCTGAAACATCTTCAGTATAGAGAAACTAATCATGTGCATTGCTAATTTCTTCCACACAGGCCATACATTGTTGGTAGCATTTTAATGGACCAACAATGATGGTTCATTAAAATCCATATTTAATTATTTTAGTATTTCTGTGATGTTTTTAAAACTGCTGTGAACAATGGGGAGTCTCATCAAGAGCTTCTCTTCCAGCTTCCTGTCAGATATGATTGACTTCCTGTCACACATGATTGACTTCCTGTCAGACATGTTTAACTTCCTGTCACACATGATTGACTTCCTGTCAGACGTGCTTAACTTCCTGTCAGACGTGCTTAACTTCCTGTCAGACAAGATTGACTTCCTCTCAGACATGTTTAACTTCCTGTCAGACATGTTTAACTTCCTGTAAGACATGATTAACTTCCTGTCAGACAAGATTGACTTCCTCTCAGACATGTTTAACTTCCTCTCAGACATGATTTACTTCCTGTCAGACATGTTTAACTTCCTGTCACACATGATTAACTTCCTCTCAGACATGTTTAACTTCCTGTCACACATGTTTAACTTCCTCTCAGACATGATTTACTTCCTGTCAGACATGTTTAACTTCCTATCACATATGATTAACTTCCTGTCAGACATGTTTAACTTCATTTCAGACATGATTGACTTCCTGTCAGACATGATTGACTTCCTGTCAGACATGTTTAACTTCCTGTCACACATGATTAACTTCCTCTCAGACATGATTAACTTCTTGTCAGACATGATTAACTTCCTCTCAGACATGATTGACTTCCTCTCAGACATGATTAACTTCCTGTCAGACATGATTAACTTCCTGTCAGACATGATTAACTTCCTCTCAGACATGATTGACTTCCTGTCAGACATGTTTAACTTCCTCTCAGACATGATTGACTTCCTCTCAGACATGATTAACTTCCTGTCAGACATGATTAACTTCCTCTCAGACATGATTAACTTCCTGTCAGACATGATTAACTTCCTCTCAGACATGTTTAACTTCCTGTAAGATATGATTAACTTCCTCTCAGACATGATTGACTTCCTGTCAGACATGTTTAACTTCCTCTCAGACATGATTGACTTCCTGTCAGACATGATTGACTTCCTGTCAGACATGTTTAACTTCCTTTCAGACATGATTGACTTCCTGTCAGACATGTTTAACTTCCTGTCACACATGATTGACTTCCTGTCACACATGATTAACATTTTGTCACACCTGACAGTAATCTATGTGAACCTGGATTACTGCCAGGTTCACATGTAGTGGAGAAGCTTCATTCAAAGTTTGTGATAACTTTGCATTTATTTAGTTGACTCTCATCAAATCATCAATTGTTCCGACTTCTCTGTCATATCTCAGTTATTTTGAGAATAACCACATCACTGAAATGAATAATTTTTAACACGAGATGGATCTGCATCAGGCCCTAAAACTCACAGGTCTGATTCCACTAACATATGAAATCTGGTGGATTTATGAGGAAAGGCAGAGAAGATCCAGCAGACGATGATGAATCTGAGCTAAATGAAGCTTGAAGACTTGGAGGCAGAGAAGAAGGCCTCATTTACAGCTTGGTTTTTATTTCAAAACATAAACACAACTTGAGTCTAAAAGAAACTTCGGTAACACTTTATTTGAAGGGGGTTGAATAAGACTGTCATGACACTGTCATAAACATGACATAACACATGTCATAAACATGAATAAGCCTTCGATATTTATGACTGTTGTCATAAAGCGTCATTCGGTAAATTCTGACACTTTTAATACAAAGTTGAAGAAAGAAATCATTACTGTTTAAACTTTAATAACATAAAGATACGTAATACTTTTATAACAAATTTATATCAGTAATGATTTCTTGGTTAATGTCAAGTTGTCATAACAAAGACATTTTGAATAATGTCAACTTTGTATTAAAAGTGTCATAATTTACTGAATGACGCTTTATGACAACAGCCATAAATATTCATGAAGGCTTATTCATGTTCATGACAGGTGTTATGTCATGTTTATGACAGTGTCATGACAGTCTTATTCAACCCCCTTCAAATAAAGTGTTACCTAAACTTCAATTTCAGTTTTTGACCAAATCTGGAGCACGCAGTGTAAAGATCGATGGTTTTTCACCAGTATTTGTAATGTGACACTAAATGTTGTACTTACTGACTGAGAGCTAAAACGTGGTCTGACATCATCAATTACATCATCACTGACATCACCACCACAGTTTATTCGGGTCTGAATGTTAAATCCTAGACTGGAACAAAACAGGAAGTCAGTCAGCCTGTTGACATAAACCTTAAAACTGCGCAAATTGAAATGACCAAAATAAACTTGGCTATTGGAAACAGCAATTTTGAAAGAAATCCTGTTTTTTGGTAAAAGTTTTTGCACTAGGGTCAGGCAGTTTTTCAGCCATATCGAAATAGATGTATTTTGCAAAACTGCAATGGAAACATGTTTTTAATAAGGCGAGTCATATGACCAACAGCCGGATTGCTGCTGACCAAAACAATGAAGAAGACGACAGGAAGCCTGTTTTTGTTTTTTCTGGCTCCTCTGGTTGCTGGTAAAATTCACAGCATCAGATCAGAAAACTGAGTCGTTCCAACATGTTGAATCTGGAACCCTTCTGGGCAACATGCAGGTTGTTCATCCCAAGTTTCCGATTTGCTTATGGGTGAATGAGACTGGTTGAACACAGAAAAGTTCAGTATTGATTGTTCTGTTCGTCAGAAAGCAGACACTCTGAGGCAGCAAATAAACTGTCGACTTCCAGTCAGACACGTCTGAATCTCCTCGGAATCTCTCCTTCTGACCTCCGCCCCATTTGTCTTCTGAGCCCCCCCCTCACAGAGGAACCGTGGGGGGCGGGGGGGGGAGCTGTCCCACCTGCAGAGAGAATAATATTTAAAATCCATATTAGCACTCGATCCCAAATGCTTTGGTTGACAGATGGTTTCCTAAAATCCCCCAGACTCCCAGCTCTTTACCCTGAGGTGGACTTTATTGGTTTTCTTATTCTTCAAAACCATTTTTATAAAAGTCTGATATATAGAAATATATATTATTATAATTCTTTGTGATTTAAAACTTTAATTTAATAGTTGCACATATGGATATATTATTTTGAATCCCTGTGTTTTCCTGTCAGGATGACAGAAGAACAAAAATCTGTGGCTGAAGATGAAAAACCAACCGACGGTTCAGCAGGTGAGCCAGTCAGACTTCCTCTAATCAACCAGTTTACAGTTCAGAGGTTTTCCTCAGCTGGATGATCAGGAAGGAGAGCTGCACCAAGGCAGAGCTGCACAGGAAGTGGATGCAGCGCTGAGCAGGAAGTGGATGGCCCTTAGCCTGTTGCTCTGCCTGCTGCAGTCTGTCGCAGGCATCCTGCCAGGATTATTTGGCAGCTGGATGACATGCAGAGTAAGTTTTGCTCCAAACAGTATTCAGAATCTCAGTTTGCTCTCATTCTGCTCACTTCCTTCTTGCCTCTCTTTTTCAGAGTTTTGGAAATTCTACCTGAGCTGTGGATCTCTGCAGCTCCTTCAGAGTCACTGTGGTCCTCTTGGCTACAGCTCTGAGTACAGGTGCATATAAAAATGTAATCTCACGTTTGTTAAAAGTGTCATTATGTCTTGACAGTAGAATATGAAACAGATAATGAAAAGGTCAAGCTCCTCCCTGTGGCTCTACTGAGACCTGCTCACAAATAACCAATCAGAGCCAGGAGGCGGGGCTTAGTGCTGCTAATAAAGCTCAAGATTACTGGTAAGCTGCAGCTGTGCTAATGGCAGAGATATAAAGTTACAGCAAAACTGTCAGTGCCTCATGTTGTCTGCAGGCTCTGGGCAACCAGCTGGATTATTTTATTTAGGGGCGTCATGGAAAAAGAATTTGAATATAAGCTGCTGGTTTTATAAGATCTTTTAGAAACCAGGAATGATTTTTCATCCACCTCACATTTCTGCTTTACTTGTTGATAAAATATTCATAAAACATATTGAAGTTTGTAAAATCTGAAATAATTTAAGGAGTATGTAAACTTTTCACAGTAAAATAAGATTTATGCTCTTTCTGCAAGTACAAAATGTAAGAAATGTCCCATGAAAACATGTTAGTGTCCTGCAGTGAGGACTCGCGTGTCAAAGAGCCTGTCGGGTCCTTTAACACGGAGATGAACAGAAACAGAGATGAAATAATGAGATGGAAGTATGTCAGGTCTTGTATGGTGGTTATCTGTGGCTTATAGGCCATAATAGCTGACCTGGTCATGCTGAGCTGCATTATGTTTGTCCTCTGGACACCAAAGAACATTGATGCCTCAAGACTGCATCAATGTTCGATTTTCTTTACAAACTCTGTCAGGATTTTATTTCCAGAAAGGCAAACATGTTCAGTCTCTCTAAATTATGATTGAATTTTCATCAGTTCAGCAGGTCCCAAACTGGCTGTTAAAAAAGGACTTTAGTCATACAAACGACAGCATCACTAAAGCCATTGAGTCTAAGAACTTCCCTCCTAACCCATTAGCATGAATATATTTCCACCTCAGCAATAAAACCTTGCAGATTCCATTCCATAAAATCCTAAATTTCCATCTGTCCCAAACTGCTTCATAAACCTGAGTGAACCTCCAAGCCCAGCAGATTAACGACGGCTAGCGTCAGAGCGCCGCTCTTCAGTCTGGCTGTAAACAACGCCTCACTGTAACCTGGAGCAGCTCTGTCACTTTTTATCACCCCCAAAATTCAGCTGAACACTTTGACTGTTATCCCTGCTGGAGGAATCGTTAAAGTTACAAGCATTGTCTGATTTTTAATGCTTCAGGTTTTATTTAGTAAAAGCCACCATTGAAATGCTTAAATGTCTCTTTTCTACCGAAGCAGACTGCATTCAGTTAAACTCGTGTCTTATTCTGCTGCAGACACAACTCAGTCAGACTCAACATGAACCATTAATGAGCTGAAATCAGCATGTTAATAAGAATTTATGAACTTGACTTTAATGATGGTTTGGATTGAACTGATACATTGAAACCTGTAAGAATGATAAATACAAACTAATATATATCAAGAGGATTTAATGTATAAAATAATAAAGACAGAGAAAAGCTATTTTCCTCCTCATTTCCATCCTTGACAGTTGGTTCATCCTGCTGCAGCATCTTCACATCAACTGATGCTTCGATAGAAGAACCACTGCAGACGAAAACCTGCACGGTCAATTCAAATGTCTGATTGAATTTAAAAGATTTTACATAAGGAGTTTTGAGACGGTATTTGTTTGAGTAGAGCAGAGCAGAGGCCTCCAAATGTCCTGAAATCTTTAGATGTGTTCCTGCTCCAACACGCCTCATCAATTCAGTTCATTTCAGTTTGGTTACGCAGCGCCAATCCCCCCAACAAGCAGCTCCTCCGTCTGCAGTCGGTCTGCAGACTCGGGTGTCTGCAGCAAACATGCAACTGACAGCAACATGTAGAGAGATGAGGCAGAAACAAACAAACCTTTGCTGCTCACTTTGTGATCCGATCCGTCTGTCTTCAGATGTCACTGATCTAAAGTTTAACTTTGCACCTCTCTCTCCTGAAAGACTGAAGAATAAAAATAAGAGAAGAAACCCAGAAATGATTTTGATGTGCAGTTTGTAATGGAGGTTCGGTGCCTCCATCAGCAGAGCTTCATGTAAATCTGTTGATCGGGAGTTTTTAATGGGATTTTGCAATAAAATTATTTGATGTTGAGTCTTCCTTTTATGTTTTCTGAACAGCAGAGCCCTGATAATATTTAAGTTTTTTCACTAATTTGCTAATTTGATTGGTGGACATCAGCGTTGTCTTTACAGAGAAATAAAACAGCAGAATATTAGTTAAATATTTTGTACAGACTGTTATGAAACTGGACTGTTAAAAACTAAAGAAAGTTGTACATTTCATGCACAACTTGAAATAAAGATCAGAGTTTTTCCACCGATCTTCTGTCAGTTACTCTTCTAAAATGCAATTACAAAGTAATTACAGATAACCCCCAACCTTTCAATAATCCTTTGCCAATCTGCCCACAGCCTCCCTAATTACCCCCACAACCCCATCCCCAACTGCCCCTGTTGCCCCCATGGAGGCAGCTTCCAGGCTGTTGGTGCCCTGTTGGTGCACCAACAGGCTTTGGCTCAGTTACTGAACTGCTGACCTCCATCAGGTCATTTTCCCTCCAGAGGCAGAAAACTGTAAAGTTTGAATAAAAACAGAAACTTCATAAAAAAACACCATAATACTTTAATAATATTCAGTTTGAGGTTTTCAACCTGAAAAATCTGACATCAATGTCCAGTTTTTTTGGTACATTTCCAAGTTTTTTACATGATAAAAACACAAAAATATGACATTACTGTGGCAAATTAAAGTTATAACTATATAAATCTAAATATCATAATAATCCAGACCAGAATAATTAATGTTCCAATTATCATTTATGAAAGGCGGTGCTGAACAGGTGGGTTTTATCCTTGACTTAAAGGAACTGTGTTTCAGCTGTTTTGCAGTTTTCTGGAAGTTTGCTCCAGATTTGAGTTCTTCCACAGAGAGACTTTTAAAAAATCACTGAATGAATCAAAGATCTGCTGCTGGATCAACTTCAGACCTCTAAAGTTCTGGTTCTGGTTCTGCTCTGCCTCCTGAACCGGAAGCAATCATGGAGCAGCAGCATTCAGCTTCTATGCACCAAAACCTGGAACAAACTTCCAGAAAACTGCCAACCAGCTGAAACCCTGAGTTACTTTCAGGCTAAGGCATAGAGCTGCTTTGATCAATAAGAACTGAACATTGATTTATATCATTGATATTGATTTTAATGATGCATTTGACAAAATGTAACATTGAATTTCATAACTTTATTATATTTTTCTGTGAAGTATTTTGAGTAGCTGGTTAACAGCAGCAACTCAAAATTATTCCAATTATTAATACTTCTGAGATAAAACTGAATCTGTGTCTGACCTTTAACCCCTACGTTAACTTACCCTTGGATATTGTGTCTTTCCTGCTGAACCTTTGTGTTGGATGCCTGTCCCCTCTGTTGGACGCCTGTCCTTTGTGTTGGACGCCTGTCCCCTCTGTTGGACACCTGTCCTTTGTGTTGGACGCCTGTCCCCTCTGTTGGACGCCTGTCCCCTCTGTTGGTCGCCTGTTGGACGCCTGTCCCCTC